TTATTTCAAATCATAACCTCTACATGCCCACTAAACTGTCATCACTATACTTTGGTACTCTGCTCTCACTCCCTGAAACCTAAAACCTGTGAACGAAAACACATTTTCGAACGCAGAGCTTAAAAATATAAAAAACTTGGTAATCTTAACACTCCAAAGGATTAAAAATACACTACCTTAGTTTTAGAAACCTGAAATGAAGCCCTTTGCTTAGCCAAACTCATTTCCTTGGTGATTTTGGTGAAAACTCTCGCTTTTCTCTTTAACTATAAAAACTCAAGGCTTGATTCATCAAAATGACGTTGCTGGAGGAATTACGAACGAAAATGAAACATGAAAAAGGCTTAAACTCTTACCGTTAGCTTGGCCTTTTGAAGAGGAAGAAGAAGGAAAATGAGAGAATAAGAATGAGAAGAAAATGAAATAATATAAAGGCTGATCTTTTGAAAATGGGGAAATCACACTTTTGGTCTTTGCTCATTTTTGTACTAAACAAAAATCCCCTTTTTATGGCTAATTGGGCTCCAATTGACCTAATTAAGCTCGAATCGGCCTAATGAATTAAAATATAAATATTACGGGGTCTACTTACCTATTAGGTAAACTCGAAATTACTAACCTAAACTCTAGGGTGTTACAAAGACATCATCGAGGTAACATATAAGACAACTAAATGTCAAATCAAACGTATATTGAACGAATACCTTAACAATGATGTAAGCACAAACAAGATCGAAGGTCTTACTAGGCTCGTATTCCACAAAGCTTGGATAGACTGCCTATAAGTAAGTCGGGTTCACACAAATCAATTTCTTGGTCCCCTCTTCTTGAAGGTTGGTTAAAATTGAATGTAAATGGAGCCATGAAATTAAACGGGAGTGGTGGCGGGGTCAGAGGTATCATTAGAGATTATCTCGGTTGAAAAGTTTTCTCGTTCTCCTCCCCTTTAGGTGCAGGATCCTCGGCTTTAGCCGAATTACTTGCTATAAATCACACATTGAATCTGTTTTTCTCCTCTAAGTGGTATGGCAAATGTAAGTTGGTGTTGGAGAGTGAGTGCTCAAAGTGCTCAAAAGTATTAGATTGAATTCAAGATCCAAAAATCTCCTCCGAAGTTTTCAGGTTTAACTCAAAGAATATCCTTAGACGGGCAGAAATATTATTACTCTCATACCCAGGGTTTACAACATTGAAGCTGATACCCTTGCCAAAAGTGCTATATCTTAGGCTATATATTGTTTAGTTTTGTTCTTTTTCCTTCTCTGGTTTGTCGATCGAACAGGCTTAAGGCATGATTTCTTTCATTCCCTTTCATGTTGTCTGATTAGCTGGGCTTGATAAGGAATTATTGTTGTTGTTTCTTTTATGTGTTTGCATGCTGAAGGGAAACCTGTTTATAATTGATATTGTTAGAAGGGGCTAATAGCAGAAGGTGGATTGGCCTTGGTTTGATCCAAAGATGGTGGTGATCCCCGCAGAGACGTTTCTGTATGAAGTCGGTTGCTTTCTTGGTGTAGATATAAAGGGTCTTGTAGTGGATAATGGAATTGGGGGCTCTATATTGTTTTCCTTCCTATTTCCTTTGCTCTCTCGGTGCAAAGGATACTATCCTTATTGCTATCGTGTTTCAATCGGGATTTGGAACTTGTATTTCCTTGGTAGTTCTGGAAACATTTGTGTACGGACTTTTGGATGATGCTCTTTGTTTTTAACATAAACGGTAATTTCATTACTAAAAAAGGCCACCAATCTATACAATATCAACAATACATGCAGGGATGTCCAAACCAAAAGAAAGGGAAGAGGATGACAATGCAACAGAGTTGGCAAGAGCGTGAGCGGCCACATTAGCTTTACGACAAACAAACTGGACCGTAATGTTGTGATTGTAGTCTAGTAACTATCGTGCCCCCTGAAGATGGAATCGCATCACCGATTGGTCTGTCTGGGTATTTTTTAACTGGGTAACCAGGTTACGAGCGTCAGTCTCTACCATCATTATCGGGAGCATAAAGTCGGATGCCGTGGAGAATCTCTAGAGATTTACCCAAGCTGGATGCCGGGTATCGGTCAAGGGAACCCACACACAGCAAGTACCCTTCCTGCAGAATCTCGAAGGATAACACCAATGGCTGAGGGGAAGTGGGATGAGCGACAGGAGCCATCAATGTTTATCTTAAAAGTACCAGGCGGTGGCTTTCTCCATCGTTGCGGACGTATTAAAGAGTCTTGTACGATAGTGGAAGAAACCATGGCAGTCATGTAAGCCACTTGAATACCGTGGCCAGTAGCAATAATTTGCCATCCCAGGGTGAGCTGCCCCTCATAAAAAAACAAGTTTCGACGATGTCAGACCTTCCACGGTAACACCATCAACTCAATGAAACGAGGGACAGACATTTGGGACATTTGATACTCCAGGTAAGCACCAAATGACGCAAAAGCAGTGGGGTTAACTAGCAAAAAGAATTCAACAGCGGAATAAAATAGGGTGAAAAAGTCCATAGTCTTGAAAGGCATGGGATACCATCTCGCTGGTATGTCCACACAAGCAACACATGCCATTAGATTCACCAAACTGAGAGATACAACAACCCACCGGTAAAGAATCATGCGTTGCACGCCAACCGAACATATGAACCTGCGGTGAAGTTGGCAGTCGTGACTAGTATAACCACAAAGGTGATGCATGAATCTCCTTAGTGTGTCGACGCATTAGCCATTTGTACCCCGAGCGCACCGAGTAGGATCCAAATGAGTGAACGGTCCAAATGATAGCATCATGAGAAGAAGGTGATATGGGGCAGTCAAGGAGAGTTTGAGCATCTGTGGGGGTAAACACTTGTTCCACCAAAGGTCGGTTCCAAAAGGTGGAATTTGGAACCATAAATTCACCACAAAGAACTGGATGGGACAAACCGTCAATATAGGAGGTAGATAGTGAAACCGGTTGTAGACCACCCCACTGCTCTCGGTGCATGGGAACCGTACTATTCATACCAATACGCCAATAAAACCCCGGACGCAATTCCTGAACCGCCGAAAAGAGACTTCGCCATGCAAAAGATGGATGGTCACCGATAGGCCTGTAAATGAACTGAACGTTCAGCGAACCGTTCGTGAACCGTGCGGCGGGAAGTTCGTTTATGTGCGTTTATTTATTAAATGAACGAACATGAACAATATTTTTTGTTCGTTTAATTAAATGAACGAACATGAACATAGGTCTCGTTCGTTCATTTACGTTCGTGAACGTTCGATTATGTTCGTTCGGTTATGTTTGTTTATGTTCGTTCGATTATGTTCGTTTATGTTCATTCATTTATGTTTAACTCAATCTTCTTAAATCAATTTTGGTGACCAATTTGTAAGTATCTTAAAAATATTAATTAATCTGATATTCTGATGACCAACTCCATAATTAACCCAATTTTATTTGGAGATTAAATCCAATATGTTAACCTGTGAGGCACATCGCACCTATATTCATTTCCCCCTTTTTCCCCAAACCCTAGTGTTCACTAGAGATTGGAGACGATCGCTGAAAGCTTCAAAACAAGTTATATTATAGTGCGATATGAAGTTTTACAGGTATGTTTTCATCTCTTTCTCTGTTTTATTTGGCTTAATAGTTGATATGTAAAGTTATTGCAGGTATCTTCACATCTAAAACTCAAGAAAACATCATACTTCTTTCTAGAAATAGATGGGAAGATAAAGGTAACAATCGGAAGTATATGAACATCAATAAAGAGAAAAATATATAGAATTTGCCAGAAAACAAAACAAAGGTTTCTATGCAATTTCTGAAAAGAGTGTAATAGCGAAAAATGATTGTTCATATGTAATCATGGACCACTAAGATAAATGTTATAGTGTTAAATTAAAGTTGTGTGAATCATTTAATATCTTTAAAAGATCGATCAAAATATTTAATATCTTCAAACATTTCATCACTGCTAATAAACTCTTACGCTATTTATCACTGTAGATTTGGTTATTTGCATTGTCGACTATTTTTCATGAAAGAACAATGGAAGGTAGGGTCTCCAACGTTTATGTTCGTTTATGTTCGTGTTCATTTATGTTCGTGTTCGTTTATGTTCGTGTTCGTTTATGTTCGTTTATTTATTAAATGAACGAACATGAACATATTATATTCCTTAATAAACGAACATGAACAAAAAAATTTTGTTCGTTTATGTTCGTGTCCGTTTATGTTCGTCTATTTATTAAATGAACGAACATGAACATACCTCCGTTCGTGTGCGTTCGGTTCGTTTACAGGCCTAGTCACCGAGGTTAGCATTAAGAATACCCCTGTTTGGAAAATAATGAGCAGAGAGCAGCCGAGCCACCAAATTACCTTAGGTACTCTTTTCCTCCTTATGCTATAAGATATTAAATTTTGATTTGATTCAAATATGAAAGGGTTTTTTGAATTTTGATTTGACTCGAATATAGAAGGGTTTTTTTTAGCAAGGCCTCGCTTTATTTTTTAAAAAATGATACCTGACATATTGATTTCAATATTCAATTTAATGATCTTTTAACCAGTTTAAACTGAAATTGATTTTTGTATTCAATCTAATAATCTTTTAACCAATTTAAACAAAGAAATCATACAAATAAATCCGCTCCATTACCATCCCCTTCCATGTAATTAGGTGTAAATAATTGATCGAGCCGAGTTAACAATTTGGGTTAACAAGTCTTATTTCGAGTTATTCAGATTTTTATATAAGTTTAATTATAAATATTTTTAATGTCATGATTTTTTCGAGTTGAGTTAAAATTTACTTCCTCTTACATGTATATCAAGAAATAACCTCTTATTGAAATCCAAATCTAAGATACATTCCCTTACAAGTTTGCAATATTTTTCACTCAAAATTTAGCAACAACATTGATCTAAACCAAACCCACATGTTTAGAACTATTTCAAGCCTGCATTTATTGAAATTAAACTTGTTTCTGCAAGTCACACACTATTTCATGTCCCTTTTTCTGGTCTACAGCTTGTGAATGGTTTCCATGTCACTTACTTCTTTCAGGCTCCCTTTCTCAACATGATCCCACCACTTGAACAAGAAATTTTCCACCACCAGCCTGAACCACGGCGACAGTTTCACTTCACCGCCATCCGCTTTCTGCAGTAACTCCTTCATTTGATCACGGTTCACGTATTTAGCATCTGCTACCTCTTCCGGATTTGGGTGAACATTAACATCTCGAACAATGAATAGCAGGTAATCAACTGCACCATAAAGAACAGGTTCATAAAATATCCACAAAATCGGGTCAAGAAATAGATGTGAAACGATTGCAACGCCAGCTCTTGAAATGCATAATTTGTAAATTGCAAATTGTAATAACTTTCTCCTTGATGCAAGATTCCAAAATTGTTTTTGCAGTTTAAAAAAGAAAAGAACAAAAGCTTAGTGCGGAATGTAATGCAAACAGAGTGGAAGTATTACGTTCATGCTCGCCCCATTTCCCGTCAGAAGGTGCCTTGTAGAGCATGCGACCCAGTGGGGTGAACTGATCAACGGGAACATCTTCAGCAGGAATACCGAGCTCATCCAAAAGCTTCCTTTGGGCAGCATTCCTCACCCCTGTGAGTAGATGGTTAGAAAAGGAAATAGGAAAAAGATCATCCACCATATTAGAAATAAAAAAGCTTTTAACTGAAACAGCTGTAGAAGGTATATACCAAGATGATTCTCCGCAATAAGCTCCGATTCACGATATAAAGGATGGCTGCAACAGGTGTTGGTCCAGACGAGAGGAAATGTTACCTTCGTCGCAGATCGTTGCTGCCAAAGTACCCAAAAGGAAAGGCATGTAAAGAAAACTTTCCTCGTCAATTATTAACAAAATATAACTACTGTGCATATGCATTGTATTCAATGTCAAATCTGGCATCAAATTAGAAATTGAGACTTGAGTTGAGAGTGTTAAAGAGTAAGATTTAGATAAAGGTGATAGCTACAGCTAAGAGCCTGAGAGCTTCGACAATATCCTATTTTCCCACATTTTTGTTTTATCTTTCTCAGACTTTTGCATTACCCATTCCGGAGTTAAAAACAACTGATCCTACAAAACTTGACCTCGTTCTTATCAGCCTGTCCAACTTACAACTACTCTTACCGGTAAAAATCGACAGATTTAGATGTCAAAATCATAACTTCCAATGAACTAAATGATAAAGAAAATGAGCTGAATACACTCACACCTCCTTTGACTGGTTAGTCTAATTACATGAGGAAAAACTTATTTAATACATATGAAATATCACTTTGTTCCATGATGAAAAGAAAAATTCTAATAACTCGAATATAATTTTTCATCATTAATAAAATATTTTTAAACTTTACTTTAAAATTACAGTTCCAAGTTTCAATTTTTGAAAAAAAATATATATTTATTGCATAAATTATTTTTATAAAATTACATGCTACAAATTTTATAATTTTTTATATACATATGAAATCAAATAATTTCAAAAAAAATTAATTAATACATTTTATAAAAAACTTCATAAAATCAAACCCAAATAAGACTTGACATATAATTTTATGGAGATAATATACTTGAAAAATTTTCAAAGTTGAAATTATTTTGTGGAGAAGGAAAAAAGTAAATGTAAATACATTTTTTGAGCAAGGTGACTCTTGAAAACGTAAAAATTAGAGGAAAGAGAAACTCTTGTATAGAATTTATAATCTCAACAAGTGTAAAAGGTTTTCCCCAAGTTAAGGAATCTTAAGTGGTGCAATAGGTGCTGGGTTGACTTTTACAACCAAACCAGTGGCTAGTGTTAACTAGCGTGCTTAGAGGCATTTGATAATTTCAATACTCCAATTGATGAGATGTCAATGACATAACTTATTGGATTCATATGTCATTAGAATGCCAAATTTTGAAATAACAACAATTCTAAATATCTCAACTACCAATATTTTGTTGTGTTACCTGAAGGAGTAACTCATATTTTGTGTTAAACAAAAATACACTGAATGCCCTATGCAGCATCTTTCCAGTTAAAATCTTTTCCCACGAATGACCTGTAAATTTTCAAGCTGATGTCAAACGTGCATAAATGAAGGAAATATAGTAAAGACATTGATGGGTAAAAAAAAAAGAGACATTTAGATGTCCCATGTATTGTCATAATAGAAACATGAGAACTGATCTAAGTTAAAGCTAACATCCTTTAATTCCTATAATGCAGCATAAAAGACAATCTACAAGATCCTAATTTATGCCAGAGAATTCAAGCATTTCTTTGATGTTCGCTTCTTAAATCATAGGCACAATAAGGGGCCCACATGCAAATGAAGTGATTCGTCTTAAAGCCTAACGAATAAACACAAAATTTTCACGGAAAGAGCTTTTGCTAAATTTTGGTGCTAAAGGATTTTCCGATGCTACAAAAGAAATTTAAAAACCATCATATGAATTTCTTTCAGCAGGTGCAGCCAATTGCATAAGGCTCTACTGTAGTAAGAAAGTTGTATAAACAAGCTTCTCCATCCTAAACAAATAGACAGATAATTACTGGGCCCGCAGTATATGAAAGTCAGTTACAAATTTAATACCAGATCATCTTCTCCTTTTAAACACCGAAACAACAATAATATGATCTCTACCGGTCAAGATAATTTGCCAACCGAAAAGTATTAACACTCAATGAATAAAACAATTAGCAATACATGCCAAAATTCATAAAGAGGATCGAAGAAAAAATATCAAATCAGGACTGAGTTCGTACAATTGTTGCACATTTAAAATTCCTATACAAGAACCCATTAAACGACTCCAGTGGTTAACAGAAGTGTTGTTCCCTAGAGGTCCCGGGTTAAATAGTTGTATCTACAGGGTGTGCAATATATCAGTAGCTAAGAAAGATTCTGAACAAATACTACTTTGTAACCACCACATACTATTCAAAAAAAAATTCCTATACAAAACTTTGCTTGCAAGAGAAAAGTGAAATAATGTCATAATTAAGTTAATAACTACTCTTATGACTGAATGGTTAATATAGCTATTAGGTCATCACAATAAAAATAATTTCATTCCACGATTAGATTATGCCATATGCAGTCAAAATGAATGCATTGGAATTTAGAAATGTTAAGTATATGTGCGAGTGCGTGTGTTTGAGCATATAAAATTTAAAAAGACGAAAAAGATAATGCAGACTAGGCCTTTTTTACTTACAATTGTACTTAGATTCATGGCCAACAACATTATCACTCTCGTCCACTAGAATACATCTGCAGGAAGATTGAAGAAAAAGGATATGTTAGTATTAAATACTAAATATTGTGCACTTCAAAAGAGCAGGATCAATGCAATGACCTCTGTAATTGCAAACCAAGAAGGCTTCATAGTAATACGGCTATATAACAAACTGTATGGTCAGTAAAATTTTAAACCTTGTTTCGTGTAATAGAAAATATATAATGTTGGTGATAGAAAGAGTTATCCTAAGCAATAACAGATACTGGAAATAGCAAACTACTACAACCAACCACTCCCGTATCACTATCACATTTCTCGTTCAATCCAATCCAGCTGAGGAATACAAAGCACACAAAGAACTTCGGTAAAAGAAATGAAAATAATTTAACGAAAACATGCAAAACAAAATAAACTACCCTGTTTTCATTCTTTTTCAAACGCTGTTGCCTTCACATAAGGGTTCAAATCGAGAATATGGGGCTAGCTAGCAATATCATCCTTTTTATTTTTCACAACTGACTTAGCTAGCTTCCAGAAGGGGATCCTCCTATAATATGAATAAAATCATGGGCATAGTACCCTATATTCAATGGTTTTTCCCCTTTTTACCAGAAATGTTAAAATAACTTTCAGCATTAATTATACAAATATGGCTCAAAATTGAATAGCCTCTGATACAAAAGAAGTTCCCAATCATTTTCCCCTCAGTTAGCAGGAAACGAAGCTCCAGCTACGCCAAGACTAAAACAAAAATTAACCATATATGGAGAGGTCACTGCTTTCAGAGGAATTAAATAAGTTCCAGTTTCAGAAATCAATAAATCATATATGCACACTTCCTAAAGCTTACTTGCATAGAACATACATATATCTATTGTCTACCGTATACACAAGTCTACGTGAAAATTAGATGTATAGATCAAAGAAGTAAAAAGAATATACACCGGGGTTCAACAAAAAATTATCAAAGAAGCTTTAGGAAAATTTTCCAACAGAGGAAAAGTAACTTAGTAAACTCAGTTAACTTTATCTTCAACTTCCCATTCTTTCTCTTTCATTTTTCCCGGTAACAGATCATAGGCATAGCAGCAAACAAAGGTCAATGGCAAAAACGTAAATAAAAAGCGGAACCGGGGGGAGTTTGGAATCGGGAAAAAAACTCACTCATCCTCAAACATAAGGCGTCTTTGGACAGCGTCCATGCCAGCGTCGGGAGCGTCACCCATGATGGCGGCTGCGGAGGCTGAAGCACGGGAACGGAAAGACGGGGAAACCCTCAAGGGAGGTAATCGAGGGGGAGGGAGGGGAAACGAGAAAGAGGAAGCAAGCTAAGGAGAAACCGAGAAAGTGAGAGGGCGGAGCAAGAATCCTGAATATATACACAAAGTGGTCAATATAATTAATTAAAATAAATGGCTAAATCCAATGTTGCTGCTGCTGCCGTCTTTGTCTTATTCCACATCTTGACCCATCCTACCTTTTCCTTTTTCAACATATATATATATATATATATATATATATATATATATATATATATGTAATTCTCTTTTGGTAAACATATGATGCAGGATGTTATTTGAAATGTTATTTGAATGATTATAAAAATATATTTTAATGTTTTTTCTTCAATCCTCTTATTATGAGAAATTATGAAATGGTCTTTCCACTTTAAGTCGTCAGAATCGTCTTTCGGTTGGGTCCCGGAATTGGGCTTCGACTGGAATTGATTGGGTTAGAGCCGCCACCGATCACTTTAAAAAATATTTAGGTGGACCGGACACCATCTTACATGATCTGCGTTTACCAGAAATGTGTCAGGCTCGGGAGTCGGTTACGGTCAAAGAAGGATTAACACCCTTGAACCGCCCTTTCAGTACCAATTAATTTATTGGTTGTCTTTAATTACGAAAATTACAAATTTAAATAAAAATTTAAAAATTCAATTCGAATAATTACCTTTAATCCATTAAAATTACCCCTAGAAATAGGTTACAATAGTGTATTAAGCTGAAGTCAAATAAGCATATCTAGGAATATAACAATTAAAGGTTGAACAATTACATGGAAAATGACAGAAGTGAAGACATGGTATTAAATAAAATAATAGATAAAAGATGCTCTGCACATTGAAAATTGCTCAATGTATAATGATACCTCTGAATTCCAGAACCAATAATTATACCAATAATAAAAATATATGGAAAAGCAAATGATAGACAGCAAGGCTTTAAGAAATGTTTTATCAACCATATTTTATATTGAAATGTTATGTCAAATAGTAAGCAAGAATAGACAAAACAAAAACGATTCAGTGAACCTAGATTTCAATATGACATACATACCTTTTTTGGCATTGCCAAACCTGAAAATGCCCAGAAAGGAAATAACAATCATTCTCCTTGGTTTCGTTTTAAATCCCTGCATGGTGTCTGAAATTGTTTTGAGAACGGCTTCCTGACTCGGGCCTTGCTCGAGTGCGGAGTTGGGAATATTGGAGTGATATCAAGAGTGCTTCCTCTGTTTGCTGCTCTTATCACACCGCCTTAGTCGCTTCAGGTTCTCGTCGCCATAATTTCAGTCTTTGACCAGTCTGTAAAATGGCCTCGCATGGGTTATTGGAGCGTAGAGCCTTGTCGAACTGGATACTCCATTCCATGGCTCAAGCAGCTGATATTTTGTCCATTGTAAAATGCGGTCATCAGCTCAGCTACGTCCTCCCATCTATGATGATGATGGCTTTACTACTAGCCTTTGAATCTCGAACAAAAGACTTCCACTTCCACTTTCATCTCCTGTTTTCATGTTTGGTTTGGCCTAAGGCAAGGGATCGTCGAAAGCTCTCATGAGATGTTTTTTCTTCTTCTTTTTCAAGGTAGCTGAGAAGAGGGGACATGCATGGTAGGGATCGAACATGGGGCCGGGAGGCCACCCCAACTCTTTCTATGTATTTTCCACTTTCCGCCTCCCTTCAACGTCTCGATCTGCAGGTATATAAAGCCTTCCATCGGAGGTTCTTCTCGAAATTAAAGGAGGTTGTTTTCCCCCGTTTTTCGACTTACCCGGGTTATCATTCGTTTGTCGAGAATCGTGGGATTCACTATTTGTTTTGTTGGAGTTGAACTGTTGCTTATTGTTAGAAAGGGGACAAAGACTTGTTGCCAGCTCCTCATTTCGAAGTTGACAAAGTCCGGCTGGTCAAAATGGCAGAATTAGACGCTTGTTCCTTAGCAAGCTGGGCACAATAAATTAAAAAATGGGCCTGAAATAAGAGATAATATAAATATAAATATAAATAAAATAAAATAAAATACTAATAATAATATATAAAAAATTATATGTTATATGTTTTCAAACGTACTTTAAAACTATATTATATTGTCAAAACCGTTTTAAAAAAACTATATTATATACGTTTCAAAATTACTTTAAAAACTATATACTATATGTTTTTCAAAACTGTTTCAAAACTATATTTATATGTTTTCAAAAGTTATATTTGACATTATTATATACTATGCAAAATGAAAGAGGACCCCGGACGAAAATAAGTGTCTACAGCTGTCCCTCTTTGTCCTTTTTTGTGTAACGAAAAATAGGACAAAGATAAAAGGACACTAATTTTCGTTCAGGATGAAGAGGTCCCTCAGTCTAATATCCTCCTTTGTGGAGTTGAAATTGACTATGAAATTAGGAATAACTCCATGTTAAATTAAGCTGCCGATGGCTTCTCCGTCGCGAAGCCAAGTCCATCTTGAAATGATAGGAATTGAATCTGTAGTTCAGAATTTGAATCGGGATGCGGCTTCTCGTTGCCAAATTGTAGTCAACCTCGATCTTCTTCTCGGTTTAAAGATCTTGGTTGGAAAATTCGACTGGAAAATAGTTCTTTGACTCCACCATGTGGTTGACAGGCCCTCGAGCTGAGTGTAATCGAACTTGAAGGTCTTCGTTGACAGATAGCTTTTCTCGACTTAAACTATACTGTCAGAAAATGATTTCTTATCACTAGGGCACGACTAACACATGTCTTCTTATTGACTTGAAAACCTCGACTGTAACCGGACAGTAGTGTAATTGATGTGTCATCGAGCTGAATGAAATCGAACTCGATAGTCTTTGGGTTTCAAGAGAAACATTTTCAAAGGCTTTTGTGTGTGTGTGTTTCAAGAGAAACAATTTCGAGGGTTTTTTGTGTTTCAAGAGAAACTGTCTCAAGAGGGACAAAATTTGTTTCAAAAGAAACTGTCTCAAGAAAAACTTAGTTTTAAAAGAAACTGTCTCAAGGGAGACGAAATTTGTTTCAAGGAAAAGATATTCAAAGGTTTTGTTTCAAGGGAAGCTATCTTAAGAGAGACAAAATTTGTTTCAAGGGAAACTGTCTCAAGGGAGACAAGATTTTGTTTCAAGGGAAACTGTCTCAAGAGAGAAAACTTGGAAATTGTCTCCAGAGAGACAATGGTGAGCATGATTCCCTTCGTCGTGAAGTTGAAACCGCGGATGGCCCCTAAGTCGTGAAGCTGAGCCTGGGAATTGGATATCTTTCGTCGTGAAGTTGAAATCCAATGTAAGTTGCATTGTTTCAAGGCCAATATCCTTCGCTGTGAAGTTGAAATTGACTCCGAAATTGGAAAATTTATTTGGATATCCTTCGTCGTGAAGTTGAAATCCAATCTAGAGATGGATGTTTCTTGTGTGTACGATTCCCTTCATCGTGAAGTTGAAACCGTGGATGGCACCTCCGTCGTGGAGTTGAGCCTTGAATTGGATATCCTTCGTCGTGAAGTTGAAATCCAATGAAAGTTGTGTTGTCTCGAGTCCAATATCCTTCGATGTGAAGTTAAAATTGGCTCCGAAATTGGGAAATTGTTTGTTGACAACCAGCTGTCCCTTCGTTGTAAAGTTGAACTTGTGTTGTCTCGAGTCCAATATCCTTCGTTGTGAAGTTGAAATTGGCTCTGAAATTGGGAAGTTGTTGTTGACAACCAGCGGTCCCTTCGTCGTGAAGTTGAACTTGCGTTGTCTTGAGTCCAATATCCTTCGTTGTGAAGTTGAAATTGGCTCTGAAATTGGGAAGTTGTTGAAAACCAGCGGTCCCTTCGTCGTGAAGTTGAACTTGCGTTGTCTGGAGTCCAATATCCTTCGCTGTGAAGTTGAAATTGGCTCTGAATTTGGGAAGTTGTTGTTGACAACCAGCGGTCCCTTCGTCGTGAAGTTGAACTTGCATTGTCTGGAGTCCAATATCCTTCGCTGTGAAGTTGAAATTGGCTCTGAAATTTGGAAATTGTTTATTGACAACCAGCGGTCCCTTCGTCGTGAAGTTGAACTTGCGTTGTCTGGAGTCCAATATCCTTCGCTGTGAAGTTGAAATTGGCTCTGAAATTGGGAAGTTGTTGTTGACAACCAGCGGTCCCTTCGTCGTGAAGTTGAACTTGCGTTGTCTGGAGTCCAATATCCTTCGTTATGAAGTTGAAATTGGCTCTGAAATTGGGAAGTTGTTGTTGACAACCAGCGGTCCCTTCGTCGTGAAGTTGAACTTGCGTTGTCTGGAGTCCAATATCCTTCGCTGTGAAGTTGAAATTGACTCTGAAATTGGGAAGTTGTTGTTGACAACCAGCGGTCCCTTCGTCGTGAAGTTGAACTTGTGTTGTCTCGAGTCCAAATCCTTCGTTGTGAAGTTGAAATTGACTCTGAATGAAACTGAAAAGTTGTTTGTTGACAGTCAGTCGCCCCTTCGCTGTGAAGTTGAGCTACCATCATCAATTTTCGAATGTGCTTTTGAATCGAGTATATTTCGTTTTGAAGTTGAAATTTGACTCTAAAAGCTGTAAAAAATGTGTGTGCTAAAAAAATGATAAATGTGATGCTCTTAAGTATGTCTAAGATGCATGCAACATGAATGAGTTATGTTTTATCTCTTGGATGGAGTCTCATGTTTGGCCTGTCAATCTGGTCCTTGGAATGGATCGTGCCCCATTTGCTTCCCGAGCTTTGGCTTTACAGACCTTTCATATCTGAGACTGTTCTGCTTGAGAATGTTTTTCTCTTTTTTCTTGTTTTAGGAGAGAGAAATGATAAAAATGTTGTAAAATATTGTTCGCAATTGAATCAAATTGTAAATGTGAGTTCAAAAAATATCAAAGGAATCAAGAGCTCTTTTAATGCTTTCAGAGTTACAAATCTTTGACAAATGTTCAAATGGATGAGTTGGCTTTAGGTTGGCCTCCTTTCTAAGGTTTTGGTAACCCAAAATGTCATTTTTTTAAAATATCGAAATATGCTTTGGCATTTCATTTGGGTGCGGACATAATGACGCAACTAGAATGACCAATTACTAGACATTTTATTT